AAAACTAAACGAAACACAGAAAAATACCACCAAAATGAGAAATCTGAATCTGTTCTCTTACCAGCAAATAAAATGAACGAAAATAAGGTAATTTTATAACAAGAACAGTTTCATTTTGTATAGCAAATTGTGTTGTTTTCGAACGACGATTGCGTCGTGTGATTTAAATTTATCACGTTTTTCCTTGCAGTCAATATGACACTCGTCACCTTGCAGATTGCAATGTACTTCACATAGTTTTTGGTACCCAATACTCGCAACATTAAATAATTAAACAAGATATCTTTTTAAAATGTCATTTTACTCTTGGTCATATTATTTTATTCCCCTTACCGCTTTGAATTTCAAATAGATTACATATCGAACTTCTGTACATGTGTTTTTTCTCTATTGCCTTTCCATGTGAAAATAATGAGGTCATACTCATGTCACAATACTTTGAAGCTGATGCCATGTTGATGCCATGAGACTGCGAAGCTGAGGCCACGATGATGCCACAAAATAAGAGAGGCGAACACAGCTTCAATTTTCAATGACGCGAAGCTGATGCCACAATGATGCGATGCTGAGGCGACAATGAAGCCATGCGTATGCGACAATGATGCCACAAAAGCCAAAGCTTCCGCGAGAACTGTACTGTATGGTCAGCCATCTGTGTTTGCATTGACAGTCATAGCTATGACCTGTGCACCTGTGAGAATGCACCTGTGTGGATCTGCAGTTACCATTCACTTACTTGCGCCTATGTTGTGTCTTTCTATCCATCTACCCATCTACCCATCTGTCTCTGCTTTGATTGACTTTACTTTAAAGTTGGGAAGTAGTCATCTGTTGATCCGTTTGGAGTGATCACATCAAATCTGCACCCATACACCATACACCTCTGACATGCCAAATCTGATTGCCATCAAACTATATGTGTCAAGTTGTAATGCTGTGAATACTTTATTTTTGCTTGGATTTAATTTTCACTATTTTTTAGCCGAAGGAATGATTCAATGAAAATAAAATCCATTGAATATACCTTTTTTCCTTTTTTTTCAAAAATTAATTCCAGCGAAAATGAAGTATTTTACAGTAACTTACAAGATTGTGCTTGATTGGCTACATACTTCTAACAGTCTAACCAATCAGAGAGCAGCTTCTTTGTTCATTCAATAAATCAAATCATGTCAACGGTCAACATTTTACACATAGTTCTGATTTAAAATGACTGATTCATTTCAGTTTTATTAGCTCCGCTGTCGACTTTGTCAAGCGGAGCTTATCATATGAGTGATTGTCCGTCGTCGTCCGTGTCAATGTTTTACTTTTTTGACTTCTACTTGAAAACTACAAGCCTGAATGCTTTGATACTTGGTGTATATGTACCTTGGGTAGACCTCTCTCAGATTTGTTCATTTCATGATGATATCTTCAATTCTCTAATTTTGGTGAATATTGTTGTCATTTTTGGTAAAAAGTGATATTTTCGACTTCTTGTTAAAAATCGCAAGTCCAATTGCTTTGATATTACATATATAGGTACTACATGTGGACCTCTCTCAGATTTGTTCATTTTGTGATGATATCTTTAATTTTTGACTCCCATGTGCGAAGCACAAA